AAAAGATGTATGATGTAGCCAATCAGAACATCGGACGCCTCATTAAGATATCATAATTGGGTTGGTAGGTCGGATTGAAATTGCCAAGATTCTTGGTTTAGTTTTCAATTAATTTTGTTAAAAAATGAACTCTTACGCTGACGATATCTGTCACGGTGATACAGACGAAAGATCAGCATAGATTCAACGGGGTTGCCGAATAGTGTGCAGAAGACTAGTTCATTCATTTCAATGGTCACAAATCCGAGGAAATCTGCCTTCGGTTTCCGATGAGGCCAAGTAACAAGTCTCTTCAATACGAATTCCCTTACCAATGAAAATTACAATGACATGAAATTATTTTCGAACTCTTTAAACTCTATAAACTTCCTGTCCAAGTCAACTATTACCAAGTTTACAGTGATTTTTAGCTCAAGCAGAGCTTTGATTGAATAATCGTGTCATTTTCGGGAATAAAACCGATATTTTTAAATGTTCTGCCATCCGGTTATGGTCTTAGATTATCACAGATTAATCAAAATGGAAAAATAACTTTGAAAATAAGAAGTGGATGGCTGAAGTACAATCTACTCTAGCGAGTACTGCTTGGCAACGTGAACAAGAACACAGCTAAACAAGCACCCCAATCAGCCGGCTAATCTTATTCCTCACGTCCGCTCTATCCTATGCTATTATTCTTCCTTCCTCCTAACTCCTCTCTACTTACTTTTCTTCGCCCTTTATTGCTTCAGCAAATTACCCGTGTAACTATTCGTTTTTACATCATTTATATCGACTTCGACTCTTATACTTCGACCTTAGTGATCTAAATATTCAGTAATGAAAGAGCATTATCCTTCCCCCTGTAAATAGTGGACGTAAGCTTTATATCTCACAACCTCATCTCAAATGGCGGCTCTGTGTTGTCACATATTAAAGTGGTCATCCAAATATTTTATAATTAAAAATGTTCATTAAAAGGGTCTATTTTTTTATTTAGCCAAGCTATTTTTAGCAACGTCACAGCCAAACATAATCCTATAGCCAATTCCATTTTCGAATCGTACGGCTGGCCATGAAACTAAGAGCAGCAACTGGCCGTAGTAAGAATCATCAACATTGAGATTAATTCCGCCTGTGTTTGCAAACATAGCACAAGTGAGATCCTTTACACACCTAAGTTCATAAGATCTAGGAAAACAATTGTAAGTAATTCCCACCACTTGACTTTTCTTATCTGGCATCCCTCCTAATTTTTGTAATTTGAAGAGAAACAATCATTCCGACAAGGTCAGTGGTATATTATAACAAAATTCTTGCAAAAGTTATGGGAGACATATGACAAAGAGAGGAGGAAATTATTTAAGATTTTGTATATTAAATCTTGACTTAGGCATGATTTGAATGGAATTTTCATCTCGGAGAAGTTCTTGAAACTACAGAGGATGACAGACAAAATGTCTAAAAGGATCTTGGACTAGATTTTAAAAATGCACCAGAGGCAGCTGAATAAATGTCCCTCTAGGTCGCCTTGGCAATACGATCATGTTGTGAAAACAAGGTCAAATAACTTCTATACAACGAAAGGAGACCGCGACCATACTAAAGGCGACGCTATCCTGATCTTCATACCTTCGATTATAAATGAAAATATTCTGGGATCACACTTGAATGAACGTGACTAATCCGTAGGCCTACCTTGAAGGTTGTCTTGTTTAACGGCTTGGTACCGGCCAGTTTCCTGAATCCTTTTCTAAAGTGAAAAATATTCCTTGTAAGGGCAATGGGCTGTTAAATTTTAAACCCAAATCCGTAAGATTAAGCTTAACTCCGTATTTGTATATTAGATCTTAACTATTCCTCGCTTTGCATAGCTAAATATCAACCCAGAGGTCTCGTGAGGTGAGTTTTTCCCTGCCAAGTGATATTTAAGGATGGGCCTTGAGCATTGGGTGCAAATATTAAAAATCAAAAATAGCTCTCAAGACTGCAGAATGAAAGAATTTTTCAAATTAAGAACAATGAACGCAAGCCTTTTAAATAGAAATTCAACTTCTCTGAATTTAGACCCAATCAGATTGGATGGAGTGGTAATTCAATATTTATTCGTCCGAACTGTAACGAGGTAGGACGTAGCAAATGCAAACTTTAAAGGCAAGTTAGTTAGCTTTCTAACTCACATTATTATTCGGCCTTCGCTGGTTGCGCATTATTGTGTGAATAGAATTGTGTATGTAGAAGGCCATTGAACATATACCCGTAAGGCGGCCGAAGGTGGAGCGGAACTCTAAAATAAGACAGCCATAGAGGCAAAATGCAAGCGCCAAAACGGCATTTTAATAAAATACAGACGTAAAATAAAAACAATTAATAAGCTGAAAGCTTAGGTATTCCATGGCCCTACTGCTAAATGCCTCGTATATGAGGCAAGCTCGATAAAGACTAGCAAAGCGTTTAAGAAGATAGAGAAGTATGAAGTAAGTTGGGAACCTGATTTTGCAACTGGCGGGAATCAGAAGACTTTCTCCATGCCTAAATAACGAAATACGCTGAATACATCTCGCATATATGATCCATTGGTGGTCTCAAAAACCTACTTATAAACGAAAAACAAGTAAGCCAGTCGATTGCTATAGCAACTATAGCTTTGCTTCATCGACGATCGCACGACAGAATGTGATATGGGAAAAGGCCTGGTCCGTGTTTGAAACTCACATCTGTCTTGTGACCCAAGGGAACTCGTGGCAATGTGGCGTGGTGGTTAACGTGTCGAAATTATACGCTGCACTGTCATGAATCGAGTCCTGCTGCGAGATCGAAATTGCAGTCCAGCCTGGATGAGAATACCTTTTGAGAAGGAGGGCTATGTGAAATTCAATGCAAGCGTCAGCTCTACTCATATCATTGTGTAAAAAATCAACTAACAGTTCTTCATCACATCAAACGAAATAGAGTAAATGCATTGCATATTTATAATCTACTGGCAGTCACGAAAACCTACTTATATATGGGTGGAGAGAAAATCTGTAGGTAATGAATTGCGAAAGTGTGTTACGCGAATACAATAGTGGTGTTTCGGTTTAAGCCGTCACATCAGTGTCAACTAGTCTATTATCTTGGCTTTTATGCCTGCAAATATTTATCTGAAATTCTCTTTGAGTCTGATCAGCGTGACCAAATGCTATGAGGTAGTTATGAGCATACAACGCTCTTCATATATCGCGTGCCCTTCGTCGAGGCTACAAGATGCCATATCAATCGAAACCAACAAAATCCGGTTAATGCCTCATCATACCATTTGTATTATGCGTGTTCACACAAATCGGATGAATCAGCATCTACCTGGTATAGGCATAGACTGCTAGTCACCTGCCAACTTGTCCAGTGTGTACTGTTGGGGAAATCTGGATAGGGTCATTCTATTCATGTGATCAAGCCAGCTTAGTCTTTATTCTTGCGTAAGACGATATCCCTTACAATTGGAGGGGATACCAATATGGCAAAACCATATAACAAAGACAAAAGTAGGAAGAACCTATATTTGCTGTCAAAATACCTAGTGACACTGCCCTTGCGGTGCATTGTGATTAACCACAAACACATATTTGTCTGAAGATTAAGAGTTTTGCACGAAAAATGCGGGTTGAAAGAGACCTGCTCTCTCCTGTAGGCTATAAGCATCCAGCATACCACCAATTTAAGACCAGCTATATGTGGTGATGTAACCAAGGTGCACCGTCTTGCAATTCCAATGAAACCGTGCCAAGTTTCCGTATCACTCGCTGCAGGAGCCATGGTTAGAGAATGGAGCCATTCTTTAGGAAGTTCCTCCAGACATTGAGGAAAGGGAGGTGGCCGGAAGCAATCACAACTATTCAGTATATTCTATCAATGAAGATATCAACATATTAATGGTCTAGGCCCGAGGTCTCCCTTTATTTTATGGAGTTGGGTTGATCTTATTTTCGCAATTGAGTCGTGTTTACAAAAAGAAAATTAATATACATTTATGGAATGTAGGTGGGGGCTATACTTAAGTACTAAGGGAAAAACATTAATAATATTATGTTAAGAGACGTCCTAGTAAAGCTTTTAATATACCATTGACTGTCTGACTTTTTATTTAACGTTATATTAAAGGAGAAGGTTCTTAGTTTTATTTTAATCCACCGTGGTCTGGTGATGAGATTAACTAGCGAATTGACCAGTGAAATTGGCCAGCGATTGACCAGTGAAATTGGCCAACGATTGACCAGGTACCCTTTCACATCCAGTATTTTCTAATCTTCATTATTAAAAAAAATCAATGTCCAAGGAGGAGATTAGATTCACCGAGAACAGGTTCCGGTATCTAGAATAAATGTTACTATAATACGGGAAATGACAGGAGAAAATAATTGATTAAAATTCTGATTTAAAAAAATTTAGAAATCTGAAGTAAAAATTGACATTTGCTTGCATCCATCCGACAACTATAAGTGGGGCATCGGTTCAAACAGAAAAACCAGGGGGTTTTGAATTTATCTTAAGTAATTATGTTCTACGAAGAGAGATATAGAATAATCCTGAAGACTTTGATAAGACATTCCTAAGAATCCTCATTTTCCCATAAGGTTTAAATCTAACAACTAAATGGAAAAAGAAGCTACTTGACGATTCTCCTGTTATTATCACACCACTCAAATTGTTGTTCCTCTAGTCCAGCGAGATTATGCTATATTTATATCATATGTATATCTTCTGCACGAATATATTTAGGCGCTGCCTATCCTTGTAGAGATGATTGTAATTGGCATTCATAAAATTTTGAAAAAAATTTGGTGAAAAGCGTAATATTCAGAAATGATTAATATTTTACAGTATTAATACAACAGTGAAATGTAGGAGCGAAGATCAGAGGCAAAGTGAACCCGATGTCGATTCCAGCCACTGTTTATATAATGTTAGTGATTAAGAAAACATACGATTTTTTAGATAAGGGCCTAAAGCTGTGAAAAAGCTTACGGGGCACCCCGAAAAATTCATCTTTAGCTGTTAAATTCATGTTGATGCCCCAACTACTGGCCTTTGTTAAAACCAGGTTGATAAGGTAGAGGATGGAAAGGGTGCCAAGAGCGTTGAACCGAGATAGGAAGGCTGGCGAGCGAATCGAGACAAGAGGAAAGACGATCAGCAACAGCCAAGCTGGCACAGTGCGCGTAGAGTTCCAGAATCGATGGAAATCTGTACTATTCGCCGCTGTCACACCTATAAATCGCGGATATGGTGGCGAGTGAGAATGGTTGGTGGCAGCCGCGGAAGAAAAGGCTGGTTGGCTCGCAAGGCCTGCAGGAATCGGAAACACCGGAGCATAAGGAAGATTCGGGCAAACAACTGAAAAGGAAATTAAAATAAATGGAATGTAAAATGAAGAATCATATTGAAAGACCTCTCGATGAAGGGCTTCAATTAATAGTGAAATAGATAAAAGTTTATTTTTCGAATTAATTATTGTTTTCGTGAATT